GGCTTTTGGCTCATAGGAGCTCTGTTATCCCAGGTCGAACCAGACCCTGAGCCTGAGGTGGAGCAGGAAGTATTTGCTGCCATGGAAGTTCCCAGCACTGAGGAGGTGCCCTCAGACACACAGTCTCCAGAAGTCCGGGAAGCACAGCTTGATGCCCACCAGGAGCTGCTGGGGCTGGACTCCCCGGGTGACATGGTGGACTTTGTGGTGGCCGAGAGCACTGAGGACCTTAAGGCTCTGAGCAGTGAGGAGGAGGACGAGGACATGGGGGCCACCCAGGAGACCGAGAGCCTCCTGCCGCCCTCTGTGCTGGACCAGGCCAGCATCATCGCTGAGCGCTTCGTCAGCAGCTTCTCCCGGCGGAGCAGCCTGGCGCTGGAGGACAGCAAGGCCAGCGGCTTTGGGACCCCGAGGCTGATGAGCCGGAGCAGCAGTGTGCTCAGCCTCGAGGGCAGCGAGAAGGGCTCAACCTGGCTTGGCAGCACCACGGACGCCCTCAGCTCGCAGCCGCCCCCAGAGATGGACAGCACTGCGGGAGTGGCTGCAGAGAGTGGCCCTTCGGTCAACGGGACGGAGCCCCCGAGTCCGGGCTGCCCAGCAGAGCCCGACAGGTCTTCCTGCAAGAAGAAGGAGTCGACCCTCTCCACCCGAGACCGGCTGTTGCTGGACAAAATCAAGAGCTACTATGAAAACGCAGAGCACCATGACGCGGGCTTTAGCATCCGGCGCCGGGAGAGCCTCTCCTATATCCCCAAGGGGCTGGTGAGAAACTCTGTCTCCAGATTCAACAGCCTTCCCAGGCCGGACCCAGAGCCCCTGGCTCCGCTGGGGCACAAGAGGCAGGTGGGCTCCCGGCCGCCTTCGTGGGCTCTGTTTGACCTCCCAGGACCCGGCCAGGCGAGTGCTGGGGAGCCAGCTCCTATCACAGATGCTGAGTTCCGGCCGTCTTCAGAAATTGTAAAGATCTGGGAGGGAATGGAGTCTCCCGGGGAGAGCTCTCCGCAGGGGCCCGGCCAAGGCCAGGCCAATGGTTTTGACCTGCACGAGCCGCTCTTCATCCTGGAGGAGCACGAGCTGGGGGCCATCACTGAGGAGTCGGCCACCGCCTCCCCTGAGAGCGCCTCCCCCACGGAGCGGCCCAGCCCAGCCCACCTGGCCCGGGAGCTGAAGGAGCTGGTGAAGGAGCTGAGCGGCGGTGTCCAGGGGGAGCTGGTGACTCCGCTGCACCCCCGCATCGTCCAGCTCTCCCACGTGATGGACGGCCACGTGAGCGAGCGAGTCAAGAACAAGGTCTACCAGCTGGCCCGCCAGTACAGCCTCCGGATCAAGAGCAAATCTGTGACAGCCAGGCCGCCTCTCCAGTGGGGAAAGGCAGCTCCCACTATTCCCTGCCTGCAGGAGGAGGCCGGGGCGCCCTTAGGCGGCAAAGGTACAACTACACGGGTGGGGAGTAGGCCCTTCCCGCAAGTCTGGGGTGGAAGAGCCTTTTAGGAGCAGGTCGGCTCCTGGGGGAAAGTGACCCCTGTAGAACCATGACCAAAGAGAGGGCTGGACTCCACACACAAGTGGTGTGAGCCCTGGCGGTTAGTCTAACGCCCAAGGCCAAGTGCGTGGCCCTGGTTGAGCCTCCTCACTGCCCTCCCCGAGCCCTTCCTGTGGAGCAGAGACCTTGGGAGGAAACGGGCCATGGGCCCTCTCTTCCAGGAGACTGGAGGCTCTCGTCTTTTCCTTAGACTCCTGACTCTGTTCACTGCCTTTTCTTCATTTTCTCATTGCTTTTTTTTTTTTTTAAGATTTTATTATCTGACAGATCACAAGCAGCGGGAGGGGCAGAGGCAGAGGGAGAAGCAGGCTCCCCACTGAGCAAGGAGCCTGACGTGGGGCTCGATCCCAGGACCCCAGGATCATGACCTGAGCCGAAGGCAGACGTTTAACCGACTGAGCCACCCAGGAGCCCCTCCACCCATTGCCCTTTGATAACGGGGCTGGGGTTGGTGAATGTGATTTCTCTCCCCTCACAACCAAAACGCCAGCAAGCAGCCTTGGCTGGAGCATGAGCAGAAGGCAGGGCAGAGTCCTCACTTGCCCTCTCCCCTCCCGCCCAGCCATTCAGTCCACTTACCGTCTCTTCACAGGCAAGAGGAAGCCAGTGCTGTCCCTCCTCAGCTCTGAGCAGACGGTGGCCCAGGAGCACAGCCCGCCCAAGCCCGGCTCTCCTCGGCATTTCTCCTTCAGCCCCACTGCTGCCAGCCCGAGGACCACCTCGCCTGGGGTCCGGCCCTCCTCCCGAAGCCCCCTCAGCCCCTTCGACACTGAGACCTTCAACTGGCCTGACGTCCGAGAGCTCTGCTCCAAGTACGCCTCCCACGACGAGCCATCGCAGGCTGAGGGCAGCCGGCCCCGTGGGCGGCCCGTCAGCCGCAGCTGCTCGGTGCCCGAGAACATGGTGGAGCCCCCTCTGGTGGGCAGGGTGGGCCGCTGCTGCAGCGTGGGCGCCAGGAGGGGCCAGGTGGGCCCAGAGGCTGTTTGGGCCCAGCCTCCCGGCAGGGTGCCCCACAGCAGGCCGGTCGGAGACGAGACCCTGTACGTCACCGCAGACCTCACCCTGGACAACAACCGGCGGGTGATTGTCATGGAGAAGGGGCCCGTGCCCTGCCCCGCTGCAGGGCTGGAGGAGCGCAATGGGCGGGGACCCAGCTCACCAGCAGCCACGGTGGGACAGGGCCTGGATTTCCAGGAGTCTGGAATTTCCAGGAGTCCAGAGTATTGGCCAAAGGAAGAGGGTCCCAGGGACCCAGCGGACCCAGGCCAGCCGGGCCGAGTGAGAAACCTGAGGGAGAAATTCCAGGCCTTGAACTCTATAGGTTGACTCTGAGTCCTGGGAGAGGGAGGAGCTGTGCGGCAGGGCGGGGACGCAGAGGAACCTTGGCGTGCTTGCCCACAAGCCTGGGCTCCCCCTGCTCACATGAGCCCCTGAAAGAATGCTCTGGTGTGCTCAGCAAGTGTCTTCACCTGCTGGGAATGCCCCGGCGCTCCCCGGGGCTCATGGCAACCTTCATAGGCCCAGCTGAGCCCTTCTCGCCACTGAGGCCAGTGTGGCCACTTCCCATATATATAGTTCTTCCCTAGTAAGAAGCTGAATATTTAAGCTCTCCGCTTCCAGGGAGAGCAAGCCGTGCTCAGGCCTCTGGTGTTGGGCTGACCACCGCCAGGCTGAGGAGCCCACCCAGAGCAGACGTGGAAGTGGCCTGGGGAGGCTTTGCTCTTTAATTGTGCCTTTTTAGGATCCAGGCAGGAACAAGGCCCATAATTTATTGCTTTCCATTCTGTGGTATCTTTGTATGTGCACGTGTTTGTGAGTGTGTGTTCTTCTGTTGTTGATTCCTCTCCCATGAAGAATGTAACGGACTCGGTTCAGGTACTTTTGTAGGTTGTCTTGCTGACCCTGTGGTTGTCGCTAATGTATATACATTTCATCATTTGCCAATGGTGCAATATCCGCTGCTCACCAACCGACCTGTGTGTGGCTCCTCACTGGGCCTTGCGGGGTGGGGAGAGCTGGCCAAGGCGGGCCGGGGGGTGGTTGCTTCCACATACCCTCCTGCGTCATCCGTGCTCACGAAGCATAAGGCACCGGGGTGCTTGCCACGTGCAGGAGGGAACCTGTTCTCCATCCACCCCGGCCTGGCATCCTATGCTGGTGGGGGAGCTGGTGGGGGGAACGACGCTGTGCCAGCCTCGAGCTCTTATCCTCAAGGACCAGAGTTGGACTAGAAAAGGTGAGGAAAATGAATGGAACATTTTTCTAATGGGCAGAAATTTCCAATGTCTGGTGCCTTTTCTCTCCTCCAGTTCCCAGGAGACATTGTAGGAGGCAAGGATTCTAAACTTGGAGCCTAGACATGTCTTGAGGTGGCTTGCAGCGTCGTGTGAGGAGAGCAAATGCATTTTTTCTGGGACGGAGCCTCAGTTTTCATCCCATTCTCAAAGTGTCTTTTCTCAAAAGGGCTGGGAGCGCCTGCCTATTTCTGATTGGGCTTTCTGCCCCTTCTCTGTGGTGGACCAGCCTTGTTTGGCCCTGTTCCTCCAGGCAAGTGTTCCCACAGGTCTGCTGGGTCCGGACTCTGCGAGCTTCTGATCTTGGAGGATGCACTCAACCTGAAGGCAGTTGTGCAGAGTCTAACGAGGTCAGGGGAGGAGTGCAGGCCAGGGGAGGCCTCTCCTAGACAGAAGCAGACAGGGCAGAGCTACCCGCTGTCCTCAATGTTCTGTGGCCACTTCCACTATTGCTGAGGATAGTTGGCTCCTACCAGGCTTGGGGTATAATGCTCAGGAGCCATGAATGTATTGGAGCAAGAGTGAGGACACCCAGGTTCTGGTCCCAGCTCTTCCATTAATTAGCTGGGTCACCTGAACTCTTTTTTTTTCCTCATCTGCAACTTGAAGAAAATAGATGATGCACTGCTTCTCAAACTCCCTGACTCAGACTTTTCGGGGCGGGTAGGGCCTGGGAAGTTGTAGTGAGCACTTTCCCCTGGTGATCCTTAACCGGCTAGGTCTGCCTGGGAGCCTTGAACCAGCTCACTGGTTCTCACTCGATACCACTAAGAGTCAGCGGAGCCTTTTGAAAAATGGTGATGCCGGTTTCATCCACCTAGACCAAAAGAAATTGCCCCCCCCCCCCCCCCGCCCCCGGAGGTGAATCTCAGGCATGGCACTTCCAGTGATTCTGACGTCCAGTGAAGGCCAAGATCTCTGTCCAGAGCTCTGTGGGGAAGGGCTTGCCGCAGACCCTCAAGATGGTTGAATGCGTGAATGAGCAAGCTTCACTCAGGCTCTCAGGCAAGGCACACAGTTGGGTGTGGGCGTAAGACTCTCCAGGGACAAACGAGAGACTGGCTCTCCCTCTGTCTCCATGGTGGTCCCTCCCTGCCTTTGCTCACTCAACTACCCCTCCTTGCTCCAATTCATGGGGAAACAAAACTAGTCAAATAAGTAAATGAGAGAAAGATGGAGCATTGTCGATTTATTAGAAAAACTAGTAAATGGGTTTTCTCTGGTGGTGGAAGCACATTTGAGCAGGTGGAGGACAAGGCCCAGCTGGCCCCAGGGCCAGTGCCAGATTGTGCGATCTGTGCCCAACAGGGTTGCAGTCTTGTGGAGCTGCCTCCTCCCTTGTGTCCTCCCTGAGCTTGCTTGTCCAAGCGACGAGGCCCTACAGTCCTCTGGGTCCTTGCCCCCTCCCACTAACGGGAGGGGAGAGAGATCCAGGACCAACCTTGGGGACCCTAGTTGCCCTCCGATAGGAAAGAGAAGTGGTGTGGTGGGGATGCTGAGCCTTCCACAAGCTTCCTGTTACGGGTGCTGGTTGTGGGGCTGGGGGGAAGCCTGAGGACCTTCCATACCCCCGCCCCCCAGCCAATCAGTTGAGGCCAGGGGATGAAGGGGATGGAGAGAAGGAAGGAGGACCACCTGACCATGCCCAGAAGGAGCTTCCTCTAAGCTGTTCTGGGGAGGAAGCCTGTTATGCTGGTGTGGACTGGAGCTGTGTCAACCTAGTTTGGGAATACTGTTAAAAGATTGCAAAGTAGAAAATGTAAGGAGGGGAAGACCCTTGCCAGAGCGCCGGGAGCATAGCCCCGTGTGGCCGGGCTCGTGTAGCTTCAGTGCTGTTGGTGAAGGTCTTGGGGCCCGTATGATGTGGGCGGGATGCCTGGGGCACTGGCAATAGCTGGTGGGTCACATGCAGCTGGCTGCCATTGCCCAGTCTGGGGGACCTGGGGTGGTGAAATCCTACCTCTTCCTTTGGGGCCCTTTCATTCTTTGGACTATGGAGTTACTTGCTGGAGATTTCTCACCTCGGTTGCTATTTTGGCACACATAGAATGGAGAGGGGGGCCCCTTGTCTCCCTAAAGACTGGTCCGGGGGGAAGAGTTGAGGAAGATTCTTGCCACTACCTGCTCTTCAGGAAGGAGCGTGCTATTTGCCTTGGAGCAGGACATGCCCTCAGATGCACCAGAGGCCTTCTTCATTGCCAGGTGAGTGTGGTCACCTCACTGCCTCCTGCTTTGGTTTCCCCAGATGGAGAAAGAGGCTGGTGAATGGTATATACTAGCTTCCCTGTAGATGCAAAGAGGGATGTAGGATTAGATGCACAGAGGCCAAGTGAAGATCCTGGCTACAAAGTGGGCCCGCCCAGTCTGGGGATGTCAGGCTCCACTGGAGAACTTGCCTCCTGCTGTTCCTGTCTGAAGTTAGCTACCCCTTGACAGGGTGGTATTGATCTCTGAGCTGTGCCTGCCTGCACTAGGGGCTCCCGGGAGGGCCTGATAACTCTGGATGCCTACCCCTGTGGCTGCTACCTGAACCTCCGCCCCTTCCAGAGGGATCATCACAGTGTGTCTAAGGCTCCTCACAGGGAAGGTGATGGAACAGCAGCTGTAGGCCCCAGGGACTTTTATGGTCTCTTCAGGGGGAAACACCTGCTGCCCCCAGTTTGACCCCTCTTTTGGACCTAAACCCAGCTAAGATGGAGGCCGGAGCTGTATTGCTTTCAGAGTGGTGGGGGAGATCTTTGTTGGGACGAGTGCCCTCTTTCCTCCAGAAGTCTGACCTTCCCAGCATGGGGAAGGCTATCCCTGGGGAAATAGTGTGCAGGGCTCCTTTTAGCTGTGCTTGGGGATGGGGGTGTTAGATGTTTGGTGGCCTTTGCACCCATGTAACTTCCCCAAGACCAGGACCTTCAGGAGAAGCTGAGCAAGGGGTGCCGTATCTTCATGGCCCAGGCGCCCGCATTTGCCCCAGTTGTCCAGAGGTGGTGTGACGTGGGTGGTAGTACCCAGGTGTGGTTCCGTTTGCCACCCCAGAGGGCTAGGTCATGAACTTTGCTGTCTGTCCAGCCAGTACCCTCGGGTGGTAGCAGCTACAGACAGGACACATTGGGCCTTTGGCTTTGGGATGCTTTACTGCAGAAGCTGGGGTAGCCATCTTCTATCTGGGGAACTGTACTATCCCTAAGGGACCCGGGGTCTGAGTCGGGGAGGCTCCCAGAGTGGAGAGGCAGAGCCTTGGGCAGTGTCAAAGGTCTGTCTGCCTCCTTCACCTCTGAGCCCTATGCTGTTCTGTTGTTTGAAGAGGACCCGCTTGAGAGCTTTTACCTCCCTTTTACCACCTGTGGTGGTAGCAGAGGGCACCGGAGGCAGCAGGAGGCCCTTGCATTGAGGACCCACCAACCTTGGGAGGTGCCTACCCCCACTTTTTTTTTTTGGTGCGAGGAAGAGCGGGGAAGCGATGTGGTGGCCCCTGAGGTGAGAGTCCTAGTTCTGAGGAAGCCCCATGGGGAAGAGGCCCCTTGTGTCCCCGGGGTCCCCAGCAGCCCCTTGGCCAGGGCTAGAGCCCTAGGCGCCTACCTGAAGCTCCTTCCTCATGCCCCTAAGGGGCAGGTCAGGCATTTCCAGTGTCCTCTTCCCTTTCCCTGGCCGTGACCAAATGGGAGGTAGCCCCAAGCAAGACCTGCTTTGGGAAGGGGGCAGCATCTGAGGAACCTCTTCTGCTCCAGTTTTGTGGGGTTTGGGGGCTGGAGGGCCCTCAGTCGGGAGGAGAGGCAGGTGGGAGAGGAGGGTGGGTGCCTGGGACACCGTTTCCTGCCCCAGGGGCCCCTGGGCTGCACTGGGCGGAGGCGGGCATCAGCCGGCAGGCGGAGCAGGCAGGTGCAGGCAGCGGGGTGGGGGGACGGGCGTCGGGCTGCGGACAGGACCGGGCCCGGGCGCCCCGCCAGTCCCTACACGGCCCAGTCCCGCCGGCGGGGTGCCAGAGAGGCTACTTCTTTTTGGGGAAGAAGCTGAATCTCTTCTCCTTGTCTTTCTTGCCAAGGCTGGCGTCGGGGCCGGTGCTGGAGGGCAGGGGCAAGCTCTGTGCCTTGATGCGGATGCTCTGGGATTCGTTGATGGCGGTGCTCACGCCCTGCAGCCAGGACAGCATCTCCTCCTGCAGGGCGGGAGGGTCATGGGCCACCAGGGAGGGGGCTGCCCCTAGGACTTCTGTTGGGAGGGAGACATCTGCCCCTCTGAGGTCTTTTGGGGTCTGGGTGAGGCCGCCCTGCACTTACCTCATCCTTGCCATGGAAGAGCCACTCACTGCCATTGCTCAGCCTAAGACAAAAGAGGGTTTCCTGCTCTGCAGCCACCTCTGGCTGGAGAGAAGCCAGAACCCAGAGCCTTCCCAGGACCAGAACCCTCACAGGCAGCACAGCACCTGCTGAGAGGTGAAAATCTGGACTCGAAGCCTCTTTGATTTGAAAAGTCCCCGAGGGGCAACTGAGGCGTGGAGCTGGTCCCCTACAAGGGACTCCCGTCCAGCCACTAACGCCAAACTGTGCAGCCAGGGAAGGGGCCCTGCCGGGAGGGGCCTCACCTCAGCTTGAAGACATGCTTCTTCTTCTTGTAGTTGGCCGCAATCTCACAGATGGCGTGTCTCAGGGCCAGGGGCTCCTCCCCATGGTAGGGCACCCCCAGCGCCAGGTTCTTGGCGTCCTTGTAGAAGGTCAGCTCACTGTTCCGGAGCACACAGTAGAGGTTGTTCCAGGACCTGCGGAGATAGCGGCCGGCTCGCCACGCACGTCCGGGTGCAACACCTCTGCAATCAGTTCTTTTTTTTTTTTTTTTAAGATTTTATTTATTTATTTGAGAGAGAGAATGAGATAGAGCATGAGAGGGGGGAGG